ATATATATATATATATATATATATATATATATATATATATATATATATATATATATATATATACATATACATATCGAAAATCTGCCATCTTTGTTTTCAACGAAAATCTGCCATCTTTGTTTTCTCGTGGATCGTTGCGACGTCCCTGGCCAATAAACTTTTACTGTATAAAAAAAATTATGGTTACGGCTTTTACGAAGAAAGTACGGGCGATTAACGGTGAAGGAGACAAAAATACGACTGTTTGCGGAGCGACCATCACCCTATAATAGACCCCCTGTATGGGAATATATGTGGTACGAGGGGTCTGTTGCACTTTTCTGCTTCGCGTCAATACGAGCAGTTGCGCTTCAGCTGGTTCTCTTCTCTGGGGACTGTATACTATCACCGTACGACCAAATAATACGCGCAGTCAATTCCTTTTACAAATTTATTAAAATAAAACAATCATAACGTCTCCAATTCTTAAAACCATACAATCTTACAAACACAACCTTTCTTGATAAAACTCTAAAACACACTATCGTACAATCTCAAGCGTCAATATTTCCGTCGTCCAGAAGTTTATTGTCTATTGCTTGAGCGTAGACAACGCATTATAGTCTAACTAAGATATCAATTTACAACCATTTAAAAAGCAATATAAACCATAACATAAAGTATTTAATACTTACAAGGATTTATCCGACACATTCCCCCCTTTGAGCCTTTAGAACACTGTGTTCTAAAGCTTCCTTAGCTGTGCTCATCAACTTCGCTAAAATTCTCGCCTACATAAGCTCTAACCTAGGAATAGTTTGTACCTTTATAGGGGCAATTTTGGTTTTAGATGTTAATAATTCTACATGATAGCTATTATTTAATTATGTGATAAAATAGACCACTGCGCAATATGCTTTTAAACTGGCATCTGCAAACCCATGTAAGGAAAAAGTTGTTTTACCTATCAAGCTACCATAAATATTTCTCGATACTACAATTTGACTAACTCGTTCAAGATCTTCAACCCAACTCAACCACCGCTTCTTCTTTTCACCTTCAAATTCTTCATCCCATTCAACTCTGTCTAAGCACAACTCCTGAAATAACATCTTTATACTCACTGCTACTGGTGAAATTATACCTAAAGGATCAAATAAGCAGGCTAATATACTTAGAATATTTCGCTTAGTAGCAACCACTGACTTGGCTATTTCTGCTAATTTCGCTAAACAGAATGTAAATTTATCTGAATTACAATCCCAACTCATACCAAGTACCTTTTCGGAAGTGTCACTATTATTGTTAACTCCCATCGATACCTTAGCATATGTTTCATCATCTAAAACGTCTTTCTCACTTGCTCTCTCTTCACTTTGTTCTATTCTCTTTAATAACTCTTTGCTGTTACTAAGCCACTTTCTCAGTCTAAATCCACCTTTTGCTAACCCTTCACTGGCCTGTTCATACAATAAAAATGCTTTATCACTAGTCTATTCTCCTGAGACCAAATCGTCTACATAAAAACTGTCTTTCAATTTCCTAACAAACTCCAGATCCTTACTTTCAAGACTATCTAAATGGTATTGTAATGTTGCATTCAACAAAAGCGGGGAACAATTAACACCGAATACTACTCTACAAAATCTGTACTCCACTGGCCTAATCTCATTATCCTGAACGTCTTTCACCCAAAGAAATCTTAAGCAATCTCTATCTAGTGCGTCAACCTCTACACTTAAAAAGGCTTTCTCTATATCTGAAACTAATGCAATCCTCTTCTCTCTAAATCGTAACAAAATATGAAACAACAATTGTGCTAATTTTGGCCCTATGTGAAGACAATCATTCAGAGATGCCCCTTTGGGAGATTCTTTACAAGAAGCATCATATACCACTCTAACCTTCGTGGTCTTTGCATCCTTTCTAACTACTGCATGATGTGGAATATAGTGAATCTTTTCAGCCCTTTCTAACTCAATTACTGGCTCTATTATACCCTTCTCTAGTTGTTCCTTAATTAACTATCATAGTCCTCCAAAATTTCCGGTTCCTTCTTCAACCTTCCTAATTGACCTTTCAATCTCTTTAAGCTAATGTTGTAATTACTTGGTAATGCACTATGACCTTCCTTCCAAGGTAACTTTACACTGCACCTTGTGCCATTAAACTTAATTGAATCTTTTAGAGACTCATGTACTTCATCTTCCTGTCTAATGCCTAATGTTTCAAAATCCCATAAACGATGTATACTCTCATCAAGTTTTGTACAACTTGAATTATCTTGCACAAGAAAATTTACATCGACAACATGCATACTATTTGTTTCATTACCACTACCACTTACCTTCATAGGACCAGACAATACCCAACCTAACCTTGTTTGCACTGCCACAGGCTCGTCAGCCTTCCCTCTCACAACATTTCCTTCCTGGAAACACCACAGATAATCAGCCCCTATCAACACCTCAATTTCCAACACTTCATTTTCCTTACAAACATCAGAAAACCACAATCCTTGCAAATGCGAATAATCCCTTTTCTTCAACTCTACATGCTCATTTCTGATTTGTGAAACATACTCTACACCGTATGCCTCAATATTCACACTCTCTCCCCCCGTAACTGGCAAAACTTCTAACTCAAAAACGTCCTGCAATTTTCCCTCTGCCCTCTCTTGCCCAAATGATTTGATTTCAATCCACTCCTTTCTCTTAGCTGGAACTCCGGCTGCCTTAACTACCTTTCTACTCACAAAGGATTTGTGACTTCCTGTGTCAAAGAGTACTCTGACCCTTGGACTACCCTTCACTCCCTTCACTAAAGCTTGTGCTGTCAGCAATGCTACCCTACTTTGAGAACCCAGAATGGAATGGTTGGATTGAACATAGTCAGTAGGAACCCCAGTACCCTCACAAACAGACCTATGGTGTCGTTTCCCGCATGCATCAACAGGTGGGAAATTTGTCGTCGCTGACCAAAAAATCGCGGGCAGAAACAAAGCTCATTGCATTTACATTCAAAACAAAGTAGAAAATTAGCAAGAAGCTGTTTTGGCTGACGATTTTTTGCTTTCCATTCAACGCTTTACAAATTAACGGTCATTCTTTTAAAAATCGATCATGAATTCCCTGTTTTCGGTGATACTTTTTGTAATCGAGTGATTGGAAGAAGTGAATATGGCGACGTGAACATGGGAGTAAATACCGTATACGTCGAGCTGTGGCTTGTTTAAAACCGTAATAAACGAAGAAAGACGTGATATGAGAATGAAATGTAAGTTGAAATTAACTTTATATGCCTCAAATTTTCCATCCTATGTTTCTTAATGTAACTTCAGCTGTCTAAGTTCAAAATACAAGCTCGCGAAATTTGACAAATTTTGAAAATATGTAAAAATAGCTTGACTTTGAACTGTATTTTCTCAAAAATAGCCCGTGGCCTCAATTTTAAATATAGCTAAATGAAAAGAAAAAACTTTTCGGCGTTTGTAGGTATCAAACATATCGTCAGGAAAATAGGGGCTCACAATGTTTTAGCTACGTCTTTGAGACCCAGTTGCTTCGCACGTGTTGTGGTCAAATTCTTGCCAAGAATCAAAGGCCGAAATGTTGCCTTCCTTCATAAAAACCGCTTCGAGAAGGGTCTAGTTTAAAAATTTAGGTATTAATTTCGCTTTCATGAGCATATTTTGGTTACACGTTAAGTATTTTTGTTCTTGATGAGATTCAAAATTTGTTGTATATTCAATCCCGGCTTTGTGTAATTTTGGTGATGACCGGAACAGAAATAAAGATATTTTAAAAACTGGCCGTGGCCTCACGATAAAACTTTCTAAAAATGTTCTCTGTTTCATGTATTTTTATTTGATACCTTAGGTATAGGCGTAAAAATAGGGGCTAATACAGTTTACGAGGTTGTAAAATGTATGACTTGCCTCTATATTCATGTAAACATTCGAAATTTTCGACAGCAAAGGAGCAACTGTTTCAGATCGAATACATGCGGACAGCATACCAGAGACAATGGCAATGTAGTGAAATTTAGATCATGTCCATTTTCAACATAAAACAGTCATTTATTTTGTACAAACATTTGGCAATATTTACACGATTGTGCCTTTTTGTAAACACGCGTTGCGTGTATTCCACGCAATTGCGTGTCTCATTTTGCTCGCGCATGCTCAGACAAATTTCCCACCTGTTGCATGCATCACAATTAACATTACTAGAACAATTTTTACTAATATGTCCCTTTTTCAAACAAATAAAGCATCGTCCGTACTTACGAATAAGTTGCTTACGCTCATTAATATCTGTTATCTTCTTGCAATTTTCGTGCGAGTGTTCTCCCAAACAATATGCACACTTTATACGTCCATAATTCCCATGACCTTGCCTCGTAAACAGAGCGGCAGCAGATCCCCCAGCATGTCCATATATATATTCTTTCGCCTTTCGTGGTTCTCGGGTTTTTCTGTCGTTGGGCTTGTGTGCTTCCCGCAGTTCAATTTCTTTTAGAAAAGCATCCATAACTTCTGTCATCGACCATTCGGAAAAGTTTGTATCCCTAGTTATAGTCAATCGAAAGGACTCGGGCAACTTCTCCAGGATTTCCGGCACTACGATAGTTGAATGGGCGGTTTCGTCTACCCCTAGGGCTTTCAACCCTCGGTAATTTGTCTCGCACGTATCATATAGCTTCCGTAGTTTCTCTGTGTCTCGGTCATTACAAACTGGTTTCATGTTCATCAGTTCCTGGATGTGCGCTTTTTGTATTGCGTTTTTCTTCCCGTAGCGTCTCTTGAGTAGATCTATCGCCTCGTTATAGTTCGCCGATGTAAGTGCAAACCCCGAAATAGCTGATCTGGCTGGCTCAATCAATAGGCTTCTCAAGTACGCGAACTTGTCGACATCCGCTAAGCCTTCGTTTTGGTTTACGGCGCTGTCAAACGAGTCCCAAAACTCTTGCCACTCTTGCAATTTGCCACCAAATTTTTTGACTTCCAGTTTCGGGAGTTTAGCGCAAATAATCTTTTTTGTCTCACTAGACAAGCTGCTGTTCAATGTAGTATCATCTGTCACTGTTGCGCTTTGAACAATGGCTTCGTTTATCACATCGGATATGTCGAGGATAACCTTTTGCATGTCCGCTATAATGTCGTCTGACTCCTCGATTTCTTTAGCCAGTTCCTCTTCCGCGTCTTCGTCTTTACTGTCACTTAACAATTCGATGATCGTTGCGTCGAGATTCTTTAAGGCTTCGATCTTATCCTTTAAAGTGTCTCGCAGTTGTTTCAAGGCATTTTTGTCTGTCTCGCCCTCGCTGTTGTAGTTCGTCAATTTTCTTTTATCTTTGAAACAATCTTTGTTGCTGAACCTCTATGTCCTGCGCGTATACGTTTTTTCTTTGTTAATTCATCCATCATTCAGGGCAACTATCCGGTTCGACTGGACCAAGTGTTGCACTTTTCTGCTTCGCGTCAATACGAGCAGTTGCGCTTCAACTGGTTCTCTTCTCTGGGGACTGTATACTATCACCGTACAACCAAATAATACGCGCAGACAATTCCTTTTACAAATTTATTAAAATAAAACAATCATAACATCTCCAATTCTTAATTAAACCCGTACAATCTTACAAACACAACCTTTTCTTGATAAAACTCTAAACCCACTCTCTTACAATCTCAAGCGTCAATATTTTCCGTCGTCCGGAAGTTCATTGTCTATTGTTTGAGCGTAGACAACGCATTATAGTCTAACTAAGATATCAATTTACAACCATTTAAAAGTAATATAAACCATAACATAAAGTATTTAATATTTACAAGGATTTATCCGACAATTATTTCTAATTTACCCCAATGTCCGAGTCACGGATAGGTAACTTTCCTAAAACATTGCTATAATTGGTTAGTTGGGCAAAAATACAATACGCACGTGACGGTGAAGGACCAGATTCAGTTATGAATAAACGTTGACTAACATAGATAATGAGTTATATTGTTATTCCAATGAGTTTCACAACCATCTGTTCTATTATTAAATTAACTAAGCGCGATCGATCTGTCTTGGTTTGATGGTTAGACCAAAATATTCCACATGTCCATCAATCGTTTCTCGCAAGACATATAGTTCAGAACTATCATGTGAACAAATAAGGAGGAAGCGTACGTGTTTCCCATAGGCGTACGAGTCTGCCCCCCCCCCCCCGAAAAAACCCTTTGAAAAACCATGAAGATTCGGACAAATACTAGGAAAAATCAAGAAAATCCAGGCAGGTTATAAAAAATATTAAATTCAAGTCATTTCTTTACAATCCTCCATACAAATCCTGGCAAACTTTTAACTGCCCCCCTGTTCTTCCCCCAGAAGGCATCAGCCCCGTACGCCTATGTGAAGAACTTATGCCACGTTTACAATGTACCACATAGCTTTCTGTGGCGACGTAAAAACAGCTACATGTATCTTTTAGGAACGGCATTTTCAGAGGAATTCTTGCAACGGAGAGATGTTTCGCTGAGCTTCTGAAAGTTGTGCATTGGTACTGCATTCCGTATCAGATATAAATGTTTTTGATTTTCGCGCCGCTACTGAAACTATTCGGTATAGTGTAAACGTGGTATCAGTTTCACGATCGGGAAAGAACAATCAAGAAAATCAATGTCACATGTTTTGTTCCAGGAAATTGATTTTCTTTTCAAAATGTACATACTTAAAATCATCATCATCAAAATGTACATACTTAAAGGAATTAATGTTTGCATGGAAACAGGGGGAAAACAGGAAGATTAAAATTTGGCAGATTGTTAGGAAGAGTTTATGTACAATTTTCGTCAAATTCGTATCGCCACTATTCCCACAAATGTCTACGACCGCACCTATATATTTTTGCATGTTTACAATTCTAATTTTAACAGTCAATCGACGTTTAATTGTAATTGTTACTAAGAACCGGATTGGCTGTTCAAAATTTGAATTGTGAACATGTAAAAATATGTAGGTGCGGTCGTAGACGTTTGTGGGCGTAGCGGCGATTGGCAGCGATGCGAATTTATTATGCGATTCCACAGTTCGGTGAGTTCCGTAATTTTTCATGTTTGAAACTTTTAATTGATGTGTTGTTCTAGAAGGGGCTTTTGCTTGCCCATATGGATGGGGCTTTTTCTTTCATTAGTTTCTATAAAAGTCTATATCCCATGTTTCCCCGGGGTGTGGGTTCCGATGACAAGTGCATCTGCATTCAAACCTGCAATTCGGGCAAAATGTGTGATACCCAGAGATGTCTTGTATACGTAAGTCTGTCTATGTTAGCTTACATGTATTCTGTACTTTCTTCAAGCATCACCCCTGTTTTATTGCATGACAGAACACGTACACCGTCTCATGGCTTTAACTATGATCACGTTTCTCGCACCACCTATATATTAACCTGAAATCAAGCTCTATTTTAAAAATAATAGCCTGACACAAACGTTAATCCGATTGCTTTCCACCCACAGCAAAGTTTATATCAAAATGTCGCACGAGAAATTTAAATTTTACACAACGACAACAACAATCTAATGATACTTGTGATCGCTATAAAATATATCAACAACAATAGTATAATCTAATTAGCACCAACCAATCAAATGACAGAAAATTAAGGTTTGTATTAGCCTCCTCCGCAAGCATCTCTTAATCGTCGAGAACTTATATAATTTACTTATTCAAATAACTGATGTTCTTATTGGGTTACTGTGGGTAGGTAAGTACTACGAGATGCCTGCGGAGGAGGCTAGGTTTGTATCAGGCCTATTTATTTATTTATAGGCCTCATCGCAAGTTGCCTACATATCTTAATTATATATTGCCAACCGTTGTTTCTGTACATCTGAAGCGAGACAAAGTGCGATTAGATGGATGTGGTTTCCATGGTTGCTATATATCTTTGCCTTCGTTGCTTCAGTTACCATTATCTTCACTAAAGGGACAAAAAACTCTAGTATTCCGATTTCTGGGTACATAATACACTGACAACTGTGTATAACTCCTGTACTGCTTTTAATATCGTTGCTCAAATGGTATAATAATACCTGCTCCAGAGTAACCTGAGTATCAGGCTCTATTTTACAAATAGAGCCTGACACAAAACTTAACCTGATCGCTTTCCACCCACAGCAAAGTTTATATTTAGTATCCAATCAAAATGTCGCGCAGGAGAAATTTAAATTTCACACAACGACAACAACAATCTAATTATAGCATAGCAGCCCACTAAACGGCAGAATTTAAATTAAAACTGCAATGAACTATATTATAAAATTAACAAAAATAATCACAAATTAGCGAAATATATTGGAAATGTAGCTTATGTTAAATCGCCACCCAATTGCTGTCTCCTCCGCAGAGGTTTCAGTGACTACAATTAAAGAGCTTTTAATACATGGCACTTACCGTATTTATCAACAAACTGACATATAATTATAAAGTATATATATATATATATATATATATATATATATATATATATATATATATATATATATATATATATATATATATATATATATATATATTTAACAATTATACCATGAGCTCGAGTCGTATATGAGCTGATAGCCGACGAGGTGCGTAGCACCGAGTCGGCTATCAGCCATATACGACGAGAGCGAATGGTATAATTGTTTTATAATATAGTCTAATATAGCCATTAACTGAAGCAGTAATTAATTATTCACTGTTACAATGTGTTGACAATTTTTTCGGCCAAAAACCGCTTGAAAACTTGAAATACTTTTGTTTTACAACTCGAAGACGAAGTGAAAGAAATGGTTTTAGAACCTCTATATCTCACAGGAAAGCTCAGATATATTATACAGATGTTTGGTACTATAGTAAGTGTTTGTTGACTGCAAATTCATTTGTCTTTCATTGCAAGCTTTTCTAAACAATTATATTCTCAATGAACATGTTTTTTCGCTGTTGTTTCAGTATTAATTTTTTAAAAAACTTGTATTTAAACTAATTTCTACGTAATAAATGTATTTTGCTAACCTGTCAAATTTTTTTGAGAGTTTTTCCTTGTACTATTATGTTTCCCAAAGCGAATATTTTCCTTTTTCTGCTTCGCAAAACTCATGTAGTTTTTGGACCGCCATCTTGTTTTTCGCTACTCGCCGTATATGAGCTGATATACGGCGAGTAATTCAACCAATCAGATTGCAGAACAGCTCATATACGGTGACTGACTATATTATAAATATATATATATATATATATATATATATATATATATATATATATATATATATATATATATATATATATATATATATATATATATTAAGTATACTTTATAACTATACGTCAGTTAGTCGATACTGCAATCTAATGGCGATTTAATATAAGTTACATTTGCAATATATTTCGCTAATTTGCGATTATTTTCTAATTTTACTGCAGTTTTAATTTAAATTCAGCCGTTTAGTGGGCTGGATATAATTGTAGTTCGTTATAAAATATGTCAACAACTGACAATAGTAGAATCTAATTAGCACCAGCCAATCAAATGACAGATTTAAAAAATCGTTTGTCTAATCGGCCAATCAGACGAAAAAGCCAGAATCTGGCTTTTTTCATGCGCCGCGGTAAAGAATTGTATCAGGCCCTCCTTCATTCGCCGCCGCCATTTAATCCTGGCGAATGAAAACATAAGGGCCTCATACTCAGGTTAGCTCCAGAGAATTACGGCTAGTGTCGTGCTTGATCGTTTTAATGCTATATTGAAATGCTAGAGATTGTTTTGCGACAAAAACCTGAATCCTTTACCCGAGTTACTTAAGAGATGCAAACTTAATTGGGTTTGCTGCCCTCGCCCTTCTTGCTGTCATCCCTCACGCTTAATGTCAAGCTACTCACGTCACGAAGCTGCCATTAGCAGAAAACTTTCGTACCTCCTTACAAGTTGTTCTTTGTGAATGTGGCATTCCTCATCATCAGATCTCTGGTGTATACAATACTTCAATATTTATTACCAAGAAAATCGGCATGTTGTAAAAGACGGACTGGACTGGACTGGACTGGACCGGACTGGACTGGACCGGGAAAACGCGGACTGAGTCCGTGTTTTACAAATCGCGAACTAAGATTTGTAAAACGCGGACTGAGTCCGTGTTTTACAAATCGCGGGCTGCGATTTGTAAAAGGCGGACTCATTTACTGAATGCACTAAGGATGAACGGTCGCAGTAAAGTATTGTCTATTCTCATGATAATGTTCAATGTTTTTACCGAGAAAGTTCAATGTTTTGATGATCATTTATGGACTTTATGATCATTTGGTGGTTTCAAAGCTTGGATCTGGTTGTTCAACGGGTTAAAATCAGATCAGAACTTGTCAAGTGCTCTTGACAAATATCGAAGATTCTCACGCGAATAGGCAAATAATGTTTTTATCAACGATCTCACCGTTCATCCTGCAAGCGACGGTACATGGACCAGTGGCGGCGCCAGGCTTCCAAATTTGGGGGGGCATTTGAGGGGCAAACTCAAATTTTGGGGGGGGCAAGGGGTAAAAAGGTCGCCCCCCAGGAAATTCGCCCCCCCCCCTCAAAACTTGGGAATATCGCCCCCGGGGGCGAATATCCTAGGAATATCGCCTCCCAGGGGGGTGGGGCGAATACCCTAGGAATATCGCCCCTCTTTAGGCCATAAGCCATACATTTTCCGATAACGACAGAACGCTTGTGTATCCTTTAGTCTCTCTTAGTGACTAATAATTTTTTTTGAGGGGGGGCAAAATGGGGGGGCAAAAAATAATTTGGGGGGGGGCATTTGCCCCCCCTTGCCCCCCCGCCTGGCGCCGCCACTGACATGGACTCAGTCCTGTACTGACTCAGTCGTAAAGGCATGGGCGTACCGGAAGGAAAAAATTAGGGGGGCGGAAAAAAAATTGCCCGACTTTTCAGGATTCTGCCCGACTAGTACCAAAAAATTTTTTCCGGAAAAATTATTTGGGCAACCTCCCCCCCCCCGTCGCCAAAATTGACAGAATTTGTCCCATTTTTTTTTATTGCAAACCAAAATTGCCCGACTGTTGATCGAATATTGCCCGACTGCCCAAAAAACTGGGGGGCTACCGCCCCCCCCGCCCGGTACGCCTATGCGTAAAGGTTTTGGCGGGAATTGCACTCAGTCGTGAGAGTATTGGCGGGAATTGCGGATATTAATAGGTCGGTCAAGGAATAATCATATCCTGGAGCTATGGTTAGTAAAAATTACTATTATTTATTTATTGTTTGAAATAAACTGATGAACAGCGTTCAATCTTAGGAGCACGCTCATGCAGCCATGTGGGACTTTGTGCCACTATTGTCGAGGAAACTCGTGCGTATGTCAAGTGTGGCCGTTTCATGTAAATAGTTGTATGCCTGTATAGATATAGGCTAGCTCTTATAGCAGATACCATTTAGTGTTAATCCGGCATAATTAAAAGAAAATATAGTTAATTCGTTTATTCAGTTGTGTTCGTGGCGAAGAGGGCGTATTAAATAAAGGTGTCTACAAATTTGCGAGAAATATGAAATGAATACTCTAATCGAATTTGCCTTTTAAATATTTGTGTTATTCACTTTTATTGTTGTCATACGAGGAAGTTTCTAAAAATCGTTATTCGATTATAGTATTCATTTCGCATATTTCTCGCAAATTTATAGACACCCTTTTACATCCGTTTTCAAAATTACGCGACCTCCCTGAAAAATACTCCTGAAAAATACTTCAAATGTCAATTTTATGTCACAAAAACTGCTAAAAATAGCAAACGTAAACAAACTGTCAAAAGACATTTTAAACCGTATTTAATACCAAAACTGAACAAAAATGAGTTAGATACAAGCACAATACAAACCATCACAACAGAAATATGTGTCGTGAATAACTTTTAAAGTTTGAAAAATAACAATTTATCCAACCTCGTGGTTGCAATTTATCCTGGAATATAGCTGTCAGTATAAAACACGCGCGCGCTAGAACGGTGATCAGGGATGCCGGAAGTTGCTTATTATTATACTTCTGTTTCAAAAATATATGACTTTAATGACGCCCGCGAACGTTCAGCGGACTATTTTGAGAACTACTTCATGACATTCCTCCCTTAAAGTGCCTATGACACGAAATTTCACCTCAAATATTTATGATTGCATTGTAAAGATCCCTTAAAATGACTTAATAATTTCTTTTATAGAATTTTCGTAACTTGCTTCCTTTGCAAGATATTTAACTTTGTTTCATATGCAAATATCACCGGTGTGACATCACATCGCATAATGACATTTTGAAAACGCAATATTTTACCTTGATAAAATATTTTTAAAAACAAATACAGAGGGTTAATTACCAGTTATGAAATAAATACATGTACAAGGGCAATTTTTAAGTTTTTTAGTTACGTATTCATCAAGAAAACTATACTTTTCAGAAAACTCATTATGCGATGTGATGTCGCACCGGTGATATTTGCATACGAAACAAAGTTGAATATCTTGAAAAGGAAGCAAGTTACGAAAATTCTATAAAATAAATTATTAAGTCATTTTAAATGATCTTTACAATGCAACCATAAACATTTGGGATGAAATTTCATGTCATAGGCACTTTAAAGAATCCAAACATGGCGGAATCTTTGATAACAATCAAGCAAAGGAAATGGACAAAATTAATCCATACTAGCAATCATACATGTTGGTAAAGAACTTTATCAAGAAATGCATCGAAATACTATTTGTTTCAGAACCTGAGATAGCTGAAAGACTTCGAAATCGTGGTGAGCAACTTATTAGAAACCTAATAAAATAATTGCTTGTCGACATCTGAAGCAAAATCGTGATATAAGCGATATAACTCGTTGAACACTGCTTGCTGAGTTTCAACGACTTATATCGCTTATATCACGATTTTGCTCCAGATGTCATGAAGTAGTTCTCAAAATAGTTCGCTGAACGTTCGCGGGCGGCGGGCGGCATTAAAGTCATATATTTTTGAAACAGAGGTATTGTAATTTTCAAAAAGAAGTACTATATTTTTGAAATAGACGTCCTAGTATATTTTGGAAATAGAACTTGGTATATTTTTGGAACAGAGGTTGTACTGATCTCGCAAAGAAACTCTGCATTTTTTCCGTTTCTCCTTTCGCCAAATGGATAACAACTTTGCCGAATTCCTGACGACTGCGGGGTGGAACACCCCCACACACATCCTCAAGCGACGTTTAATTCTGTCTGCTGTAAAAAAATTTGTGCACCCGATACACCCATAGTCTGCACGCGCACTGCACCCAAAAAGTTGAAAATGCAAAAGGCAAGGGGTGCACTTGCACCCGCTGCACCCGTGGTTCCGGCATCCCTGACGGTGATGTTATGATTTTGTTTGAGCTTAAATTTTGCAATAATTCCCACTAAAAAGTATCTTGAAATCATTGTAAGCCTGTTTATATAAAGCATACAAAGCATATATATACATCGACAAGGAAACGCAAAAGTTTAAACTTCGTGTAGTTCGTGATCGAATGACATAAAACTGACATGTCAACTCTAGTATTTTCGTCCTTGATCGCGTAATTTTGAAAACGGGTGAAAACGTTTGAAAACTCTTCGCCACGAACACAAAATAAACAAATTAACTCTATTTTAAGTCTAATTATGAGTAACACTAAATGGTATCTGCTATAAGAGCTATATCCAGGGGCGAAACTAGCCCCTTTTAATTCGGGGGGTGTCTGCCAATTCCTGTTAAAACATGGCTTAAACCCTTATTTTTGGACCAATATAAATTCTATAAATTCCCTCTGAAAGCCCTGTAAATTACTTAACTCAACATTCTATCATTTAAAATCTTTGATTTATTCAAAACAATAAATAATAGTAATTTTTACCAACCTTAGCTCCAGGATATGATTATTCCTTGACCAACCTATTAATATCCGCAATTCCCGCCAAAACTCTCACGACTGAGTGCAATTCCCGCCAAAACTTTTACGACTGAGTCAGTACAGGAATGAGTCCATGTACCGTCACTTGCAGGATGAACGGTGAGGTCGTTGATAAAAATATTGCCTATTCGCGTGAGAATCTTCGATATTTGTCAAGAGTACTTCACAGGTTCTGATCTGATTTTAACCCGTTGAACAACCAGATCCAAGCTTTGAAACCACCAAATGACCATAAATGATCATCAAAAACATTGAACTTTCTCGGTAAAAACATTGAACTTTGTCTTGAGAATAGACAATACTTTACTGCGACCGTTCATCCTTAGTGCATTCAATAAATGAGTCCGCCTTTTACAAATCGCAGCCCGCGATTTGTAAAACACGGACTCAGTCCGCGTTTTACAAATCTTAGTTCGCGATTTGTAAAACACGGACTCAGTCCGTGATTTCTCGGTCCAGTCCAGTCCGTGTTTTACAAATTCAGTCCGCGATTTGTAAAACACGGACTCAGTCCGCGTTTTCCCAGTCCAGTCCGGTCCAGTCCAGTCCAGTCCATCTTTTACAACATGCCAAGAAAATCTTGGCAATTGTTATCGTTAAATGTCTGCCAAGTTCGAGTGGCGTGGATGTAGATCTTTTGAAACATTCAGTGTATATAACAGCAATATAACTACATAAGCTTACGCACCTCATCTTTTCGGGGGAGGCACTCAAACTTTTGTCCGAATTTGTCTGGAGGATTGTAATGTCTGAATAAGCTAAATGAGATAGCCTTTCAGTGAAATGTAATCCTAAAATTTTCCACATTTCTTTTCATTTTCAAAATACTTCATTAGGCTAAGTTGGGTACGCAAACAAGACACAACTTAATTCCTACGGAAATAGGCATAATTAATTTATACTCATTTGTGTGCCCGAATTTAGAAATTAAAACAAATTTAAACCATGCAGAGTTAACGTGAACCGTATTTTGAACAGCCGAATTAGGATATAATGCTTGCTGTTTCAGTATTTCTGCATGTCTGTTCATTTCAAAACTTTAGAAAATAAATCGTGTTTTTACCCGGCCCAGACAAAATTTCTGGCAAGATATTTCCAAGTTTAAAAATAAGCCGTTGGAAAGCCAATGAGTGGGTACCACGGACCGCCCCCAATAATAGCGCCTGGGAAAAGGTTATAAAACCTTGATTGGTATTACTGGAGAGGAGTTTGATAAATCTTTTGCTTGAAAAAAGGAGAGGGATTTACGTAGTTGAGGGGAGGTGACGAGCTTGCTAGAGAGATATAAAACATACTTCAATATTTCGAACACACATGATAGTGAAAAGTCGCAAACAAACCAAATTCCAGTTTTGACAGTCCTTTGAACATTCTTGGAACATTATTCATAAACGAGAAAAATATGTCACTAACAGTTTCTTGTATTATTATAATTTCTTAAAATGAAGTCTTTAATTTCAATGTTGCAAGAAGCTGGTTATACTAAAGTACAGTTTGGCACGTCTAAAACGAGGCGAAAATGTACAATTTTTTGTTCAAACTATTTACAAAATATCTTACATTTACTACTTTTTTATTTAGTTCTAAAACTAGCTAGATTAAGGAGGGCCAGTAAAATACACATATTCGGCAGATAACATTGGCGTTGGTCTAAATTATATCTCACACGAATAAATCTTAAAGTGAGGTGAATAAATGTTGATCGGGTCCAAGGACTGGATCAATACACTTCACCACGTATCCAGTATTATCATATGAGCAAAATAAAGCAATATGGTTGTCTAATTTATCATTAATTATGAATACGTTTGAGATTGCATGATAATGACAACAATTGAGTAGATTTTATAATGTGATCTGTTAAGCCCTGGTCAAACCAGGATGAGAGTTGACGAAAATTGGCAAGTCAGCCATTGTTACGTGGATATTTCAAGTTCTAAATTAACAAAATAAAGGTTTGATGGGTGGCCCAACTATGTTCTAACTTAAATACAATACATGATTGCATTAGGAAAGCATTAAGGTTACAGAACACTTTTGAGTGTTAATTTTGCCTAAAATTTTTTTATTGGTTTGCATGAAAGCATTAGATTAGTTCTACTACAGTATCTGACCAAGTTTGGACGAAAAATGTTGAAAACTCGCAGAGTTATTTAATAAAATACATTTCGCTTGCAATAAGAAAACCATTGAACATGTAATATTCAAATTCAATTTTCTCCCGAAGAATTTACGGCAATTACTGATTTTCAAGCGAGTTGTGCTCCTGCGGGTTTTAACGAATTTTTCTCAAATTTTCACAGGACATAGCTAAAGACGACAGTTTCAAAATTGTGTTCGGCTTTTTTAAAATTTTGGATATTTTAATAATAAAGAGCAATTCACTCAAACAATTCAGAAATATATTGCAGTCGTCAAAGAAATCGCCATATCAGCGGAATGACGAAATAAACAAAAATTTCCGAACACAGTTTTTTAGAACAACTATTTTACTGTATAAAAATGATATTTTCATAAATAAATCTTAAAACCAGCAGGAACATAACTCAAAAGCGTAAAGGTACCGCGACTTAAGATTTTCCTGAATAATTCTTACATTAGTCTATTGTTTGTCAATTTTACAACTTCATCATATTTTGCATGCACTTGCTAACATTTGGTGAAAATTTGATGAAAATCGGACTGATATTGAGCGCGCAGTAACGATTTTCCACAAAATGCAAAAAAGGGTGTCCTGTAACCTTAATAAATGTTAAGAACAGCTACCCAAGGCTCCAGGTGACTGCCATCTCTTATTCACTCTTATCCTCGTTTGATCCAGGCAAGTCATCAGATCAGATTAAATAACAAGACATTGTCACATTGTCATTTATCTAGATTTTTCCAGAAGCTTCTTCACAATTTCAAACATGTAGTTTTGCTAATTTTGTCGGTCAGTGTGCAGCATCCGAGAAAGATCTTTCTCAAACAACAAATAGGTTTTAAAGCAGGCATGCATGTATATTCAAGGCATTGAAATATACATCCCTTCACGAAAGTTACTGGCCCTACTTTCTATTTAAATTTATACTGCTCATTGAGGAAAATAATTTGAACAGTACAATTCTAAGATATGTGACATTGGAATATTTTTGTTTCATACTACAAACGCCTTTTCTTACAAAATAATGGCTGTCCGTCTTTGCAAAAATTCAGTAATTAAGTTAACGTAAAATTGTTCCACAATTCAATATTTACACTGTACATACTCTATAAATAATTTAGGATAGGTTCTGTTGCATGTAGTAGCTGTACTGTATTAGGACAAATGTTATTGGAGTGGGTTTTAATTCATAAAAAGTTTTTGGATGATACTTCAAGTTTTGTTCATCTTTTGCTTGCTTATGGCATATATTATCATTCACTTGCATTAGTAAATTGTCTCACCTGCTTGGAGTATATAAATCAAATAATCTGGTATACTTGCTTCGTTGCCATCATCTGAGCCATCGACTGCATCATGGATAGATTACTGTCTGCGCATAGTCTAATAATCATTAGTTTCTTTAGACATTTATCACAGTAGCGCCCAACTACGCATATTTCATGCGTAAAAATGTTGTATACCTGATACGGTTCGGTTCTGTTTGGGTTTTATTTGTGCCGAAATAGTTATTATCTACGAATAGATGAACTGTGGCTTCATATTGTAGTACTACTACCCCCTTTTTCACCACAGAGTGAAAACGTCTGGCACACAGTTTTCCAGTCCCATTTAATAACCACAGCCAATCTGTAAAGAAGTTCACTAATTAAATTGATAAAGAATATGCACGAGGATTTGAGAGCTAAGTTGGATCGTTGTGAAAGCACAAAGGAAAGATGGATTAGAACGATACTTGCAGTCAATGTGGCTGGTAAATTTCTGTTCAGTTCCATCACATCAGCGTCAATTAGGTTTCGCCCGTGAACGTATTCATTAAATATGGAAGATATACGACAGCATCGGTCGGTAAACAATTAGTACGTCGTCCTACTAACCTTCCTACACCGAAGTCACTCTTTCTGTTAATAAGTGGTCATTGCCATCATGTCCAATTGGGTTTGTATCCAAACTAATTTTGTTAGAATTTGATGAATCTGAGCCCCTACCATTCGTTGTTATTGAATTGTTGAATCCTCTTGCAAATACAGGCAATGAAAATCTGCGAACTCGAAGGTATATATTCGGATTCTCGGAAACAGCTCCGCTGTAGGAACTGCGACGGCTGAACGACATTCGTTGCTTTGTGATTTTGAGGAAAGGATATTTATCTTCCACTCTTCTACATATTGCCAGAAGATCTTTTTTAAAATGGGAAGTAAATATCGCATACAGGAAAGGATTGCAACAACTGTTAAGTGGAAACACGAACACGGTGAAAATTTTCGCCTGGCTTAAGTTGATAATGGATGAACCAAAGGTAGCCGTAAGGGAGAAAAACACTATTGGAGCCCAACATGCAAAGTCAGTGAATACCAATAATGCCATACGTTTTGCCACACGAAAATCGCTCGCGTTCCACGCGTTGGATCCACGAATTGAACAATACATTAGGATATAGCAGAATAGGATCACAATGAAAGCTGCAGCGTTAAGGCAGAGCAAAAATACCAGGAATACGATGGATTTTTTATCATCAGTTTCGAACGGCAAACACACACTGAATTTTCCATAAGTGTTGACTTCAAGCAAAGGAAGCGTTGCCGTGACAAGAGCAAACACCCATCCAAAAATCATAACTATGACTGCGGTTTTCAATTGTAGTTTTCGGTTTACACGGATCGCGTTTTTTATAGCAATGTACCGTTCCACTGTAATCACTGTTAGCGTGAACACTGAGAGTTCACTGGAAAGAGTAGCAAGGAATCCAGCAGTCCGACAACCAGGACCCAACTGCCATTCAACGCCATAACTTTTAAAATTCCCCAATGTTGAGACATCCACAACAGCTAAGAAACCCAAATAAATTCCCATGAAAAGATCCGCGAACGCTAAATTACTGATCAGAAATCGGGAGACATCCATTTTCGTGTGACTAGCAAGAATAACGATAATAACTGTAGCATTTCCACATAGTGCAAGTACAAATACGATCCAAACTCCACATCGTAGTACCCAGTCTCCCATAAGGTCCTCGCACGGGAAGAATGGGTCCGGTTCTGGAGTGCATTTAATTTTCTTATTTAAAATGTCTTCATCGTGTGGAGAAGTCTTTGGTTGTGACGTATCTTCATAGGTGGACGAATCAATATCTTCGGGATCAAATGACGTCATATTTTCGAGGTCATCTGCCAACCAAATCCACTTACTAAACACTTGGTCCCCGTTACTCTAAAATAGAAACAAACACTATGCAAATTAGGAAAAATATTCGTTAGGATCAACAAGACCTATATTTATTAGAATCAATCCTTTTCTTATATAGCGAAACACGCAGTTTTCTTAATTTTCTTTAAATGCTACTGCAACGAATTTTAGGACCTACTTTTTTAGATTAAAATAAAAATTCAGTCTTTTAGAAGCATTTTCACATATATTTGATCGCATGCAATGTCTACAAGTCGACGAATTTGGCCTCTGAAGTTGGTTATCGCGTGCAAACTTTTCCCGCCACCATATTGATGCAGTGTGACATAATAAGTTGAACGGAAACGGAGATATGAATGCCATATTTGATCGGAGTAGGATTTTCGCATATTTCACTTATTTTTTGCGCAGATAACTAATGTCTTAAAAATAGAATAAAAAGGGCTATATATTATCGTATATTTGACGGCAGTATGACGGTTAGCGACTCAAATAATAGAGTCAGTACTGCATCTGAAAGTCAACTTCGAGTATGCATGGACTAGGCTTTGACATACGATGATGAACCAGTTGCCTAACAGCTTCACTAGAAGTGATAGAGACATTAACGCCGCTGCAGTAGGCAACTACCATCTGTGTTGGAGCAATCAATCAAGCGACGGTACAATACCTGTAAAATCAGTGGTAAGTAGATCATTTTTTGTGCATGTGTATCATTGTATTGTGCTCAGCCTCAGTGCTCTGTATTGTGTCTGATTGCTTGAACACATCTGGTGCGTGTGGCTTTATATTTATTGTAAACAGGATTGTGCGTGACAATAAAATAATAAGCTTTATAAACACAAGCATATTCATAGCCTATTTGCAATACTCAAAATGATTTTGATTTTGTTTTAGATAGGCATTGTTGGCAATTATGGGCTGTGGTTCTCTTGACGGCTATAGTTTTACTTGGATTGGAAAACAGTTTCTTGTATTATTATAATTTCTTTAAAATGAAGTCTTTATTGTACAAATCTTCAATTTCAATGTTATACAAGAAGTTGGTTATACTAAAGTGCAGTTTGACACGTCTAAAACGAGGCGAAAATGTACAATTTTTTGTTCAAATTATTTACAAAATATCCTACATTTACTACTTTTTTATTTAGTTTCAGCAGGACAGTTGTCGACTGTAGTTGGATTATGCTGATTGTGACTGTGTCGGTTAATCATCGAGTCCAATTTTAGCCACAATATGTACAACACAAGTGGAATATAAATATATAACTATACAATATATAATGTAATATTTGGAAATTATATTAATATTCAAAGTAGTTACAGTTAAGTTGGATAGAAATATATTTCTCACATAAGGCCACATAAAATAAATTCCTTGATTCTCATCACCGCCCGACTGTATTTTAAGAGCCGCGTGAATTTTTTTTATATTTTGTTATACAATATAAATGAACCGCCCGACAAAATATTTCAAGACAGTCAAAGTTTTTATATTTAAAATTGGGTTTATAGTGCCATTTTAAACTGACAATTTCAAATAAATAGAACCTTGAAAGAAATTTCATTGCATTTTAACGGAACTTCGCATTCAGTTCAAGGGTTCAGTCATTGTTCGTGGAGAAATATGTTCATTTTGGTTTGTGACACTTCACTTTGAAAATCACAGAAATATTAAATGTTAGGAATTATTTTTTTATCAGTTATTAATGATAAATTATATAAATATAAAATATAAACCTCCCGGCTCTTCGACATTTTCAAAGTCTAGTGACGAGAATCAAGGAATTTATTTTATGTGGCCTAACAGCATACCAGCACAATATTGTACTATTGTATATTATTTTATGTGGCCTAACAGCATACCAGCACAATATTGTACTATTGTATATTATCATATTTATTGTTAGTATTGTTACTTTATACTACGCAATATGTATTATAATATGAATATACAACTCCAATGGCATCGCGTTTCTCTCAATCTCTTGCCGATTTCAATAAAACTATCATCTACAGAGTACAGTATAGGTCAAGGCCAGGGGCGGATTAGCCCACCGGGGTACCGGGCGATCGTCCGGTGGGCCCCCAGTTTTGTACAAAAAATGGGCCCCTATTTTTGTATTAAAATAGATTTAATTAGTTCAATTGGGAAGAAGCTTATCCTTGGCCTTGAATTTTTATCAAAGGGCCTGGAAATAGCTTGAACGCCCGCTCGCTGGAGGCAGGAAACCATGGCAATAACGAATCGATTACATAATTATATGAATAACGCCAGTCGATCGTATTAAATTTGTAGTTCAATAATTTAAATGAACTTTTACTGAAAGATATATTAAAAACATGCCAAGAAAAGACTTTTATTGCAGTGAAGCATAAATTGCAAGCTGTATACAGTATGATAATATGAAATCTAATATTTGGTAATGATTATCTTTATATATATAATATTATAGAAATATAATTTTTCTTTATAACTTGATTATAATGTAAGTCACAGAAAAAGAAAACTCGCTGATATTCCGCTTGGTCATGACGTCACCAGGGGGGGGGGGGAGCTTTTAAGTTAAAGCCCGGTAACACCGATGTTGCTTATCCGCCCCTGGTCAAGGCATGTTGAATTGTCGTCTTTATTTTAACCTCAAGATGCTCTGGACAAGAAACTAACGTACTGTAACAGGAGATCTTTTTACAACCATAAGAAGTGTTAAACATAAGAAATGTTAAACGCTTTAGACTAACTGGGCAAAATATTAAAATGCACCATGTGCATGTGCGAACATATTAACTTTTACCTCGCTAAGCTGAATTATTTGCCTTGCATCTGTTAGTTGTACTTTAGCCGGAGGAACAATTCTACCCACGTAAATTGTATAAACAGTTTATTCCTTCAGTATTCTTTCCATTTTACGAGATTTCGTCAAAATAAGATATAGCACGACTCAATCACAACACTATAGGTTCTGCCTCCTCCGCAGGCCCTTACTATTTACAGATCAGTGTATATATAGACATATCAGTTTAATATATAGATCGGTGGCTGAACAAATCTGTTGTGATGCATGCTGGGAAGACGAAAAAAATTACTAATTAATTATTTGATAGCAAGCGACTGGGGACGAGGCAGCTATAGGTTTGCAGATGCGTGAAAATCCAGCCAACGTTTACGGACAAAATTTACGGTCTTTCTCTCACTCTGTGGATCTGTTTCTTCGTTGGAAAATAGATGTATGGGTAGTCATCCAGACCGTTCAGAATTCGTGTAATGATCAAAGTTAGAACTGTCATAAACGGCCTTCGTCTCCGCGTTTGTTGGTTTCACTAGAGAGCTTCACGCGGCCGGCTCAACGACGCGGTCTGAATTTCAGGAATAATGAGCGCTAAGCAATTTCATTATTGTAATACATGTTTGAAGATTTTTCAAATAACATTACAAACTGCTAATTTCGACTAAAGCGATGTCGATGCAATGTTTGCTGTAATTTCGAATTTCAGTAACACCTCTTGGGTCTCAATTCCTGATTTGCAATGATGTGGGCGACGGCCATATTGTTCCCTTTCAACAAAGAGAATCGCATTAACTTCTTTTGAATTTGGCACCAACATGGCCACCATGCCATTTCAATTCTGTTTGCGGTAAATAGGTCAGGAAGGAAAGCACTTTTATTTATTAAGCTGGAACATTTTGGGTCGAAAATTTCGTTGCAGTAGCAGTTTAAAATAATCTCCATATAAGGACACCTCTCACACTTCCTGATATAAAAAATTTTCCTTTATTTCTTCGGTGCGCGCATTAGGAAGATTCGAGTGCATAAAAATCCCCAAAGATATTTTGAGTGGCTTACAATAATTGCACAATACTTACCAGAGTTATGTTAAGAGTTGTGTTATTATTATTATATATCCCTTTCCTCGCATTTAAGAACGCACAACAATGATATGGATAATACAGATGCAGAATTTTGATGTTTGGTAGATGCCTTGGAGATGGGAATTTTTTGAGTTTTGAGTTTCCCTTAATAGAGAGTGTCTCCACTGCTACAAGGCCGAGAGTTGGCAGTTCTGGAAAGTTGTTGTCCGTCAGAATTCTAAAAACAATCGAAATCAATCCAGCAATCAAATTTTAACAAATATTTAATTGGCAAGGCCGTCGGAAGCGGGGGCTGAGTCCTCCCCCCCCCCAATAATTTCCATTTGTATAAGCAAAAGAAACAAAAGACTCTGAAATTGATCAATACATTAAAATAGCCATAGTTTTCTTTTTGTTATAGGTGCCCATCAACTGATATTCCAAGTTTACGTCATTGCAAACAAAGAATCAGTGTTAGTGTGGGGGTTAGGATTACGGTTAGGTGTGGGGTGACGGTAAGGGTCAGGTTTAGTATTGTTGCAAATGGCTAGTTATTGACTCTTTTACATCATAATGACATTAAAAAACTGGCGGTCATCTTGAAAACCTGCCTCTAATCCATCCCCTTTAGCCATCACCATTGCTTAACTGGGAATACATGTACTATTAAATCCTCAGTGCCGGATAATATTCAATAATCAATAAAGCGAAACGAATAATAAATGAAGGCGGCTCGTGGAATTTTGGCACATTTTTCAAAAATCACTCGTGGTGTTAATCACGAATTGCACTCCTTTCCGCATGATTACCTATTCAAATATTTTGGAGCATTAATATATTAATAGTTATATATGCTAAACTAATATACTTACAGGTCTTTGAGGTTCGTCAAATCAGAAAATGCATTCTTATGAATATTTGATATTTTGTTTTCTTCAAGCAACCTAGATTAAGTGCAAGCAGGTAAGAAAAAACTTCATCTTATATCACTATTATTTTCAAACGGCCTTAAAACGTTAAAATACCACTCAACCGCACTATTTTGATATATAAACCAGTCAAAAAAATTTTACAATAATGATGTTATATACTTATATATGTGTTTGTCTCTTATAGGGTTTTCTGCCTTCCGGCTTTTAACACAACAAAAACTTAATCGATTCATTTTAATTTCAGACCAGCGCTTTCGTCTTGCGACACAAACTTTGGGAGGTCTTTGGGAGCTTGCTTGCAACGTGCGTGCACGTTAATAAAAATGATTCACAAGCTATAGACAACATACTCGTTCGTGTCGTACAGGATAACAAATGCAAGGTGCGTGATTTCCTTTTTTTCTTTTCCTATAAAATATTACTGAGAGATTCAAGGTCATGTTTTACCATACTTACAGTTTATCCAGTTGTGTCAGTCCTTTAAAATCATTTTCTTCGATTGATTTAATCCTATTGTACTTTGCAGATCTATGACAATAAAATTGAAAAGTTTATAGTTTACATGCATGTACACGTAATTTGTTAATAATACAAGAGCTAAACATCCGTCACAAAAATACCATCATGAACAACATACAAATGACATCACAACCTAGCAATATAGCTCGATTGTTCATAAATATTTTGCAAATATGTTGGGTAGTTGCGCTGGATATATAATTTACCACAAGCTTTCAGAACAGAACCTAGCCCTAGAACAAAATGGCGGGCAGTCAGACTTTTATTACTTAGTTTATATTCCTAGCACTTTTGTGTATATGTCTCTGTTTTTTACCGTCTATTAAATCGTAAGGATTGCATTGCATGTAAAGAAAATTGAAATTGACCAAATGAGATATTTTGCCAAATTATTATAGCTTGCTTCGCTCTTGAGATATTAAAATTTTGATATGCAAATTATACCCACTCTAAAGACATATATATTGCATGAGTTCCTGGAAATTTACAACAACTTGCGTATCAAGCATAGTTAAATATCTCAGGAAAAACAAGCCAACGTGGTTTGAAAAAGTAACTTAGCAGTCATTTTGATTTTTTTCTTACATAAAAAAGTGATGTGACTACAATACTGTAAATTAGATAGGCATTCATGATTTTAACAAATAACATGAATAAATATTAATTATTATAATATTAACGCATACAGCGGTTGTTGTTTACTTACATATCAACAATTGAGCTCAATCCATTCAGGGAATCCCCGAAGCTTTGTATCCTATTGCTATCAACTACCCTGAAACACAAGTATTTCTTACATCACTTTTGGGAGTTCATGAACCATAAACCTGCTTTGCACTCATAAGCATTTCAATTGGATGAGGATGACATCAGATGTGTAGCTTTGTAAACGTCAATTAAATGCTATTACAATTGCAGTTGCAACCACCAGTAGTTGTTTCCAAATATGCGCATGGGTGTAAATTGTCCAATTCAAAAATTGCCATATGCTGACACTATAGGTCAATGCCAATCGTGTATATCTGCACAACATGGGCGTATAATTAAAAATGTCAAAACAATCAAAACACGAAACGTCTGCGAACAGGCTATGATATTTACAATATCCAATCAGAACACGTAGTCTATCGAACCTATAGTCAGCAGCCAATCAACTCTTTCCTTCCATTTTTGAAAGTTATGTGTGGAATGTGAACCCGAAAACTACGCCAATTTCACCAGAGGGTTATTCAAAACAGGCGAAAATAAATACTCTCTGGCTCCAGGGTAGCAAGGCGAGGGTTTCTGCATGCATGTATTTTCTAGTATTTTAATAAATTGGGATTCCTTATTTTAGAGTTACAGTAAAGTGTTCGCACTTAGACAAGTCATAATACCACCGTTTTTGGGGGGGGAGAGGATTAATATATTTTTACTCACAGAATAGCAAGTTTCTTGCAACCTGATAGCTTGGGAAGAGCTTCTAAATTATTACCGGAAACACGCCTAGATATAAGATAGAAAAGTTGTTTATTTTTCTGAAAAACAATATTTACATATAGTCAAATTAAGATAACATAACATATTTATTATCACTCAATAGTCATTACAGATCAAAATTAAAAAGAATACAAATTAAAAATAAAATGTTGATTTCCTTGAGAGAGTATATTAATTTAATATCAATATTGAGGCTGTTTCAAAATTATTCAAACGTCAAATGAAAATGCAATATTTAGGAGTATTACGCTCCTTTAAAACTTCGGTGTTGCTCCACTGCACTGCACTGCACTGCATTGCATGGATGTTGTATATTGTACAATTTTGTATATTTTGCATTCCATTGCATATTTTGCAGAGTAGTATTTATATACTTACAATTCAAATAAATTAGGTAGAATGTCACAAAGATTCGTTGGCAAAACCTTAATTTCATTGTGGTCCAAATAACTAAATTAAAATGAAAAGAAAATAATTGTTTCAACAACTGTTTCAATATTTGCTCAAAGTACTGGGGCTGGTTGTATAAAAAAGTGATTAAAGTTAACTATAGGTAGTGGAAACGTCATTCAATAGGAAGCGCGTATTCGCGAGTTAATCACTAGTACTATTTAACTACAAAATAGTGATTAAAAAAGTGATTAAATGAAAAAAGTGATTAAGAGTTTTATACAACCGGCCCCTGGTTCACACTAGCAATTTTTGTCAACGATTTTTTCCCCGGGCAGATCAGATTGAATGAGTGGCATGGAAACAATACTTTTGTGTGCAAGTTCACACATCAGCGTCTTTCTAGTGAAAAAGAAAATCGCCCACAAAATATGTTTAAACCAGGCTTTAGATCAGCTAGTCAGTTCGAGCTTATAGTTAAACACAATTATAACTATTAATAATAAGATCAAGTCTTGTTTGGCAAATACTAAATTTAATGTTAGCGTAGACAACACAGAATGTTAATCAGAGACTGTTCATCCTCAGAAAACTATAATAGGATTAATGCAGCGAAAGGATAAACTTCCCGATTTAATAGGTTAGTCAGTTATTGTAGGTAAAGGTTCGTATTAATGTATTTCTTTCTAAATACTGGCTAAACTGCAGCTGCATGTCTGAGATTTTGTGACACTTAACATAAAATCAAGAAATTAATTTAAAAAACTTGTCAGCGGTAAATGAATACTTTTAAAGGTTAGGCAAAAAATTGTTGAAACATTTAAAAACATTAAATATGAAATTTTTTAAGTATTTTGGTTTAAAAAATAAAAATCGATCATAATTCGTATATTACGTGATGCCCTATCAATTATTATGTCTATTTCAAATGCATGATTTTATTCTTCATGCTGAAAATACGTACAGGTCTTCCAGTTTGAAATTTCCTGTGAGATTTGGAAAGTGAGCCAGTTTAAAATTGTTCAGGGTCCTATAAAAATAGATAAAAATACATTAGGAAAGACTAACTTCTGTCACATGCTGTAAGGAGGTTACCATGGTGTTTCAGGACAAGAGATAATTTGTTACCGTTCATCCGTACTATCGGCTCCCTAATATCCACACGTAAAAACGCACAAGTTGCAACAAACCTGCACCAGATTTGTAGCAACGCTGTTCAAAAAATTATCAACAGGATACTGCTTGTTGACAAGAAATTATGCCTGTTGACAGCTAGCTTGTTGACAAGAAATTCAGGCTTGTTACAAATTGTTCCAACAACTTGTTATTGTCCTTACGTGTGTACAAGAGACTTTACGAATTATTGGAGATTTATAAATGATTTCCTCGCAAGTATATGGAAATATCACCTAAAAGTGAGACACTGATCCCAGAGATCTTCGACGATGAAATATAACTAGACGCCTAAACTACATTTCATGTTCCTTGGGTCGTTATACAAACGTTAATTGGGCAATCCGAAAATTTCCACTTGAACTATGGCCTAAAAAGCTAAAGGTTCGTTACTTACAGTTTGGTAAGACTCGGCAAGTAGGCAAAGCTTCTATTTCCAATGTGATACTCGACATGTGACTGTGGCTCCAACAGTACTCTGCAAATACAGGAATGAAATCTCAGTGTCTGGAGAGCATTGAGAGTGCGAAAAATATGTACAGTACTTTACGAGTGTGGTTTGGTTCACGAAATGTTAAACAATTTTTACCTCAGAAAGTTTGCCAAAACAGCCTATTAACATGCACAACACAACACAGCATAGCACAGCACAGCACGACACATCACAACACAACACAACACAACACAAATCTTTTTTGAGATAATGGGGGGGGGTGTTAAAAATACGTTTTTCAGAGCTTTTTCGACCTTAAATTTTCGCAATATTCCTTTGTATTTAACACGTTCTGCAATTCCAGCATTTGGGGTCCCTCTTCCTTGAATTTTCTTTGGGGGTGTTACACCCTCCACCCCAGTTACGACCCTGAAAGGCCTGGCACTGACCTGGTCAACAGTGGCTGAGCTAGCCATGGCGACTGGTCATGCTACGCCTATGCTTCATGCAAAATCGGTTAATTAAAAAGACAATACGTTTCTGAAAGTTTGAATAATGCGAATCATTAAAAATTTGCATAGCTTGACCTGTCGCTATGGCGAGCTCGCCAGTGCTAATCAACATGTCTTTGAATGTATTATAGTGCAGGTAAATACTACTTACATTTCCTCCAAGTTGTTAAGATCCTTAAATGCTAAATCGGGGATGACCGTTATACTTGTGCCTGAAATACGTCTAAAAATACAAATAGTCACTCTGTAACTGTGGTGTTTTCCACGAAAACAAAAATCGATGGGAGTACGGAATAATCCTAGAATGTAGGACTTCAAGAAAGCAATATTACAAGCTCATATGACCGCGGTCAACGTCTTAGTCATTTTCACCTGGTTGCTTAATATTGCTTGACCCTCGAGCAGTGGGGAAACTAGGGGGTGCGAGGGGGGCGATCGCCCCCCAAAAAATGTTACTAAAATTATATTTTAGCTAGATTTCATAATTCATTTTGAAAAATGAAAGCACAATAAAGGAAGCACTATTTGTTACAATAACAATAACAACAGCAACGAAATGCTAAGTTTTAATAGAAACAAGCTAAAAACAAGTAAAAGTATTCTAAATTTATAATCTCACAAGTCACACAATGATCAGTGTTATGAATTCTGAAAAAAGTCAAATTAAATTAGTTTTAAGCGCTAGCTGCGCTACAAAGTCTTTACTTAAACTGTACTATTTGGGATTTTTGATTTACCCATCGATCAAACACTTTGTCCAAGTTTATCCTTTTTAACAGGTCTTTATTCATGGATAGCAACATAAAGTCACTGGCCAACGAACTGTCTAAGCTATTACGAGCCCAGCTCAATATCCGTTCATAACACTGAAGCTTCGATCTTTCCACGGTTGTGTACCAACTGGCAAGGTCTTTGATATGGCGATCACCTTGAATAAGTTGGGGTACAGCTCAGGATCGATGTTCTTTCCGGCAGCAATTAGAATCTTCGCCCGTTCGCACTCGGTTTTAAGCAAGGCATGCCTTGACCAGAGTCATGACCATGACTCTGCAGAGTCAATATGGAGACAATACCAATAAATGTAACCTTAATTGTGTCCATGCAGTTACAATTTATGATATACATGCATATATAATACTGTATAGAGTATCTTCCGAGTGTTCATAAAACAATAGCAATTAATTGTATCAAATTGACTACGGACTATACAGTATCTATTCTATAGGTAGGAATTTTCAGGTGTTCTTTCACTTCTCTGGTTTAGATATTTATTACGTACCGTACTGCAAGTTCAGGTTACTGTTTTTTTATGCTTACCATATGATTTATATCAAAATGCACCATATATTAACTTAATGTTTTGAAAACCTGGAATTTCTTACAAAATGTGCTCTCGCAAATCTCGTGCCTTTGGCACTCGCACTCCCAAAGTTTCGCAAAGTTTCCGCCACTGCCCCCGAGATTGAAATATCGTGGAATGTACTCGCGTCAGACCATTCAGGAATGCGATCCACTTTCAACATCGTGGGAATGCCTACGTGACAGTACATGTGATTGGTCCTCAAGAAATTGTATTGATAAACGAAATATAATTTCATATTTTAACAATAATAGGTTATAGGAATGTATTTATCATTCCTGAATGTTTTGACACAAAAACATGACACACCCTTTTCCGGCGAGAGGAAGCATCCACGGTTTTGATAAAAATAACTACCTCTAAACTTTCAACTGTACAGTTTACAAAAGATTACAAATTGCTAATAGTAGTGTACAATTCGCATAGAAAACGAACTTCCTCTAGTCCATCCCCTTTAGCTAGCCACGACCATGACCTTATTGTCACTTCGACACCAACAAAAACCTGATATAACAGACAAGCAGTTCTTCTTTGGCGAATAATAGTTACTAGCATACTATTTGAGCAAAACATCAAAATATCACTCGCGAATTTCTTGGTTGTCAACGAAAACTAGCGGTTTCCAACGGATTACATCGTTGGCATCAATTTCAAGCTATTGTGCATGTTTCCTGCGCGCTCAACCAAATTCGAATAGTGTGCACTAAGAACATACCTAAGTTTTGCATGTTTTACGATTACCTGCTGCTAAATTACGAAAATCTCAATTACTTTCTACTTACAGTTGTTTCAAGCGAGCCAAGGTTCTAATGCCACCAAATGGAATGGTTGTGAGTTGCCGGTTCATAGACAAATCACTACAAAGAATGCAAAAAAAAAAATTGCGGTGCCGCAAAAAATATTTCTTTTTATTTCCTATTCTTGGCCGAAAACGTTTTCTCTAGAAAGAATGCAATTTCAGTGGATGTAATTTGACTAATATAAGGATTTCAAAAAATTATTGAAACCAAAATGGCGAGAAGAGACATTTGGTCCCCAGTAATTTTTTACAAATATATGGAATTACTTTGCGAAAACACTTACAGTGACTCGATTACTCTGATATTTTCAAAGGCATTTTCTGGAATCTCTTCTATTTGATATATAGTAAATATCAAGATTTCGTTGACATCTCACTCGATTGAATACGATGCCAACAAAATCTTGACATTTGAACTTGTGGTTATCCAGCTCGAAAACTGGATCCTGCAACTCAGTTGGTTAGAGCGCTACACCGGAATTGCAGGGCCGCAGGTTCGATTCCTGCCAGGGACCTATATACAGTTGCATTTTTCCCCAGCTGTTCCTCGTTAGGTCTAATAAAGTTTTTAATTTACAATCGACAATTTTCCATCCACAAAACCCTAACCGATATATAGTAATTTTAGATGAACCAAACATTTTGCTCTTTATTAGATAACAATATGGTACCGAATGTCTATGACTGAATTAATTCGCTTCATTTAATTAAGTGATTAATTAAGTCATGGACGGGACAGGTTATTCTTCACTGTTAACTCTAGTCTTAAGCTTCATTTCAGTTGTTTTATTTTTTTATTTAGCTTTGCCAACTAGGGCAAGGTCACCACAACAGCATATGCCAATTGCTGTGGGTCCTTTTACCTAACCCCACCCTGTCAACTTTCCCTGTGGGAGGAAATAGGAGTACCTGGAGAAAACCCACGAGTTTCGGCAGAGCGTTGACTTTTACTCTTTTCACATGAGGACTGGGTTCGAGTTGCATTGAGAAATGCTCACTGAGATTTGAACCTGCGACCTTAGAGGTGAAAGGCAAGTGCGCTAACCACTTCGCCATCGAAGCTTCACGGGCCATGCGGCATCATGGAAGATCACACATGTCTTTTATAATTTAGAAAAATTCAAAATTCCTTTAATTAAAACACGTTATGCATGTTCAGAAGTGGCAATCGCCTGCTATAGTGTAGGCATGACACGCCATTTTGTTACAAGGTTCCGCAACGCCTCCTAAAACTGCGTCCTTCCCGTGGGACAATAGGGCCTGTGGAGGAGGCAGGTGCTGTTGCAACCAACTGCGCAGACATGTTGTCCTATACAGCCGTCACTGTTATATATATCGTCCTTACTCCGTATGAAAATGGCATCTACTCACAAAAATCGTAAACTGTCAGTGTTATTGCCAAGAAATCTTGGATGCACGAACTTTATTTTATTTTCTTTCAGTGAACTAAACAAACATTCATAAAATTTTATGTTATTGATAATTACAGTACATTTCTTTCGAGAGTTTGTAGATCAAGCGGGCTGAAAAATACAACAAGAACTTTGATAAAAGTAATTTGTCTGCTTAATATATTTTCAGGTAGTTAAAGTTTCATCCATTATAGTGGATTTGAAATAAACGTTACCAAATTGACTTTTTAATATTTGCAAGTTGACAGCAGCAAGTTTCATAATATCAGACCTGTTTTGTTATTTGTATACGAATAAATGAATGCAATCCCCGAAACGATACTGCATGCATGCATGATAGACACGTCAGAACAAATGGGGTTACCAGAACCGACCAACAAACTCGATAATAGGCTCAATATATCGGTATACCTAAAGCTTCAGGCTACCTCTGCCATATTTCAACCTATTTTAACAATAAAATACTGTATGTACTAGTGTATATACTAAAGGCAAAATATTCTGAATACCATGCAACACAGTATACCTAAAAACCCTGGCCAGGCATGATAAATGGATAGGGATGAAGTTACACAAAGGATGGCTATAGAACCCTGGTATACCTCATAGGAATTTCCCGAGGGATCTTGTCGATCAAGAACTTAACGTCTTCCTTCGAGTATATAAGAGCTACTCTGCGAATTTAAATCACACCTGATAGAGACACTGAACCGAATGTAATTTTAGGGAGTGGTCATTATTTATGGGGAGGGGGGGGGTTGGGAAATGGGGAAAATAAGGATTGAAAACTTTTTTGAACCCCCCCTCCAGAACTGAAGGCAAACTTTTCGTGCCTCCCCATTCATAAAAGTAGAAACTTTTCTGACCCCCCCCCCAGTGTGAATTGAAAAATTAACAGCAATGAAACAGGTGTGCGTTGCAGGTAAAGTTAGATATTAGGACAATCTGTTTAACCTAGCTCATGAGGTTTTACCCTGGTGAATATAATTCAACCATATATGAGTAATATATATATATATATATATATATATATATATATATATATATATATATATATATATATATATATATATATATATATATATATATATATATACATATATATATATATATATATATATACTATTATATAAAGAATCCCTTGCAATTCTGCGAATTGCAAGGGATTCTTTATATAATAGTAGGGACCAGTAATCAGATCTATTAATTATCTTACAGTTATCAAATATAATTTGGGTTGTGTTAGTGTTTATAGTTAGTTGTTTAGTGTTAGTGTTTATTGTTTGTAACTTTGCACTAATCTGTCCTGAACAATACCACAACTGGGTCACTCAGGGGGTAGAAATCTTGTTAAACTTAGTGGGCCCGACTCCCACGATCGCGAGGCGCTACCATGGTTGGCGCCGAGCAGGGAAATTTTGAGTCTCTAGATCGTTGGAAATAGCATTTTCAGAGTCTTTTTTTTTGCTATTTGTGATTATAGAAATCAGAACTCTAGACATGGTATTTAAGTTCAAAAACTTTTATGACCCCCCCTTTCTCTGTGTTAAAACTTTTTTGACCCCCCTATTTATAAGGGTAAAACTTCGTTTGCCCCCCCCC